ATGTAGCTCATTATTATATTCATTGTGATTTATCCTAATCTGGGGAGAATGTGCTATGGTTGTGATGAAATTATTTGTTTTGAAATTATCAAATGCCAGTAACAATTCATTGTGATCAGAGAGAGGGGTTTTCCTTTGCGAAAGTTTAAATGAATAGCCAATGCAGTCTGTAATGAAAAGGTCAATGACCGTGCGAGTGGTTATGGAGCGCCCATTGCTATGAACGCGAGTAGCCGTACGAGTAGCTGATGCCTCGGTTATATTGTTAAGAATGTAGAAGCCATTCGACATGAGCATGTCAACAAAACGTTTTGTCGTGCTAGCATCGTTTAGTAAATTAATATTGAAGTCACCGACGACAATTGTTTTTTTTCTGTTTTCTAAATGTGTGTTTAAAACGCTAATGAACAAATCAATGTCAACAGCAGGCTGCTTATAGACAACAGTGAACGATGTGCACAGCTGTTCTTTACTCGTATTCTTCTTTGTCTTTTGTATTAACCGGACCAAATGCTGTTAACCCCAACGAAATGTTGTCAAATGTTTTAAATATAGAGGAAAATGACTCCATTTGATATCATTGAGATAATCTGGATCAACCCGAATTATCATTTCAGGTGAAGAATGCATTTTACAAACGAAAAATTTACGCAGCGAACGTTCAGTTCAAGCCGGGAATCATATCAGAGCAGTGGAAAAACTTTGCGGAAAAGGCAAATTAGCTATAAAAATGTCGATGGTATCATTCAAATTGTTCAAATTGAATCAGGCTCCAGCGGCTGATATGGGCATTTATTTGCACTGTTTAACCGAACAGATGAACGAATTGTTAAAACCTTTTTACACCGTACTATTTCATGTAATAGTTTTTGGTCTAATTGGTGGTGTGGTGTTTGCCACCAATAATTTATTGGATTTCGTTCTAGAAACATCTGTGATTGCGGGCATTCAGTGTGATGGCATGTTTCTGACTATTGGATTGAAAATGAAGATAGTCAAGGTATTGCGTCTTAAGTTACAACAAATTGTTGATGAAGATATCGCAAGTAAGTCCTTTTCAAATCATTCTTTTTCAACACAAAATTCACAATTAAAGTATTTTCTCTGTAAAATGGTTAAAAATGAACATTATTTTCTTTATTAAAATCAGATGAAGTCGCTATCTACTGGGACACCGAGCAAAAATTATTAATGCAGTCACTCTGAACACTCTTACGACAACATAAATCTTCGTATAATACATTTCCCAATGCATTTTAAAAAGGGACTTTCGATTTCTCTTGATCTGCTATTTTATTTCACAATTTTTGCGTTTAGTATTGTATCAATGGGCACAGTAACGCCAGATACTAAACGCATCCATTCCCATTAAGACTTGATGCAATTTTTTTCGCGCAGAATTTGAAAATAATGAAAAATGATTTTTAGTCTTAAATGCACTATACATACTAGCGATGGTCGATTTTCGCAATTTTTTACAACAAAATTGCTATTTTGGCACCATACCTGTGTCTATCATCAAGTCCACAACATATCTGTGTCTTTCATCAAATCATATGGGCTATTAATGTTATTGAACCAAAGCATCATGACGTAGATGCCGTTTCATATGATTGATTTCGCACACATTGTGAATTCGGTTAGGATTAATTTTAATCAAGACTATATTGTGCTCCAATTCAAAGTGTACTTTCACTCGATCGCTATCGCCACACAATAAATAAAATTCATGCTTAAGCTTTACGCAAACACCATGTGTTTCCTTTATTTAAAATGGACATTATTTATGATGGCTGATAGGCCGTTTGCTCAATTTCAGGTCACATACTAGATAAAGGGTTTTGTTTCGTTCACAACAATCTCTGAATTTCAAAGAGATTGCTTTATTTATTTTTTATTTATTCTATGAATTGAACTTGTTTCCATTCAAATGAATTCCAAGAACTAAACATTTCATCTCTTCATATTTGGGTTACAAGTCATGTTTCTTTATGGCTTGAAATCAGTTGGAATTCTCTTCTGAACAAGATGAAATTGTTTCAAATAGTCGTCCACTACGCTTACATTATTGGGTTATACCCACGTCAACCACTTGAACAGGTGTTGTTTAATCCACGAAACAGTGCCGTTGTGCTTATCTTAGGGCAATTTTCAGATTCTGTTACTGCTTTTTTACTATTCGAAGCAAACATTTTCAGCGAATATATAAGTTCATTCTATGCAACGACCATTGGATGTTTAAATATATCTCAATCATTTTCAAAATTTGCCACTTTTATACGCTGGTTGACAATTTGGAAAAAACCATTGAAGATAGTATGTTTTTATAATGTTTTTATAACTAGGAAAAATGGAATTTCGGAATTTAGCTCATAAATGGTCACATTTTAACAATTGTTGTTTGTGCTTTTTTGTGGGATTTTGCAACATACTACTAACATTTGTCAAGGATATCAAAGTAAAACTGCAAAAATTGAACGAAAAAAAAGGAAATCATGACGAATTCATATGGATTTAAAAAAGAAAACCAAAAGAATTTTGAATTGATTTACCGAGCAATGTACTTGACATAAATTTTTGGGGCACTTTTATGGTTCTACATTTTTTATTCAATCAATGAAGTTGATTTGATGGAAAATAAACTTTACTCGCGACTGTCCTTTGGAATGCTCCATGCAATCAAACCTTGCGTTCATTCAGCATTTTTGTGGTGAATGCTTTTTATGTGGCGATTCAAATTTGTTTTCTGTTTAAATCCATTGTGACACAGCTCTGTTTCAAATTTTCAATCGAGCCAATTTGGGCAAACGAAAGAGCGATCACAAAGCGAACAATATCGAGCGCGGTAGCAAGGATTTTCGATCCAATCGGATTCTTAGCACCAATAGTCATTCGAGCATTCGAGCGAAACAATTTTTGCAAGAATTATGGAAATCCAAGGTGAAATGGGATGAGCGCCTGGAGGAAACTTTAACGAAGACGTGGTTAGCATTCTACACCGATCTGAGCGCGATAAACAAAATGAAGTACCAAGATGGATTCAAGCAACGAGAGGAAGAGGAATCAAACTCTATGTTTTCTGCGATGCATCCATCCAATGTTGGATCCACGCTGCTGTAATTTATGTGCTATGTGCGATTAACAATACCGTTTGGTGTAACATTTTAACAGCGAAAACGAAAATAGCGCCAGTGAAAACTGTCGACACACCGAGATTGGAATTATGTGGTGCCCTTTTATTAGCGAAATTGATGAAACGAGTGCGAAAGAAATGCAATTTGGAATACGCACCATACGAATGTTACTCTGATTCAATGATAACATTGGCCTGGATAGCAAGCTACCCATCGAAACTGAAGACGTATATTGGAACAAGAGTGAAGGGCATTCACGAAAGGACTGAAACAGAGCGATGGAAATATGTAAACACGAAACATAATCCAGCGGATATAGCATCGAAGAGTATAAAACCGGACACTTTTGTATGAAAAATCCCCGCAAAAAGCCATTTTTTAGGGTTTTGGTCAAGGTAAACTAATGTTTTTTTGCAAAAATAATGGGGGTCTGTGAACAACCGAATTTGCCCATAAATTTGGCCTGAAATCGACATTTCTTGAAATTTTCTCCGAAAAATATACTTTCGTATGAAAAATCACTCAGAAAGCCATTTTTTAGAGTTGCGGTCAAGGCAAACTGATGTTTTTTTGCAAAAATAATGGGAGTCGTCAAACAACTGAACATCTCCTTGCCCATAAATTTGGTCCAAAATCGACATTTCTTGAAATTTTAGAAATTCTGATCGAAAATGACACTTTTATATGGAAAATGGTCCAAATAGTCATTTTTCAAGCTCAGAAGTGCTATGAAAAGAGTTTTCATTGAAATTTTGGTTAAACATTAAGCGGGAGGTAAACTAAATTGCTGCGGAGCGGACAAGTTTGGATTACGTATGTAATTCGTTTTATTTGAGGATGTTTTCACCTCTTTTCTTTATTTAGTAAATTGACATTGAACATAGAGCACGACGCTTCACAAAATACAATTTTTTGACAAACATATACGTGAAATAATCCATAAAATGATGACAAAATGGTGAACCATTTGAATTGAACCGATAAATACGGAATATTTGATTGGATGTTGTTGTAAAATACACACGGTGCCTATAGACATACATTGTAATATTCGGTGAGTGCCACTAAAAAAATATACACACTCATCTAGTGAGTGAGACGCATGGTCACTCATTTAGTGAGTGAGACGCACGCGGATGAGATGAAGCAAAGCGAAAGGGAAGCGCGCAACTAGAACATAGAGTCAATGGGTACTACGTGTTTGTGTTTGTGTCCGTATTCTAACGACGGAGTGACGAAATGTATGCGCGCTATATCGTTCGTTCGTATGGAGTTGCCCGCTTCTCTTTCGCTTTGCTTCATCTCATCCGCGTGCGTCTCACTCACTAAATAAGTGACCATGCGTCTCACGCACTAGATGAGTGTGTATATTTTTTTAGTGGCACTCACCGAATATTACAATGTATGCCTATAGATGACCTTCTTTGCACATAGGTACAATGCTCAAGTTTAAGAAACTGTGACGACAATATGGACCCCTAATATACCTTGGAAATGGATTGAGAATATTTTTCATTTCGACAAATTACAACATGGTAAATATAGAAAAAAGCTCATGAATAACTTTTTCCTGAGAAAAAACATGTGTGCACTAGGTTTAACGCTGGAACAAGATGATTGGAATATCTGAAACCAGAACAACAAAAATCAATCAATATATTTGATCAATTCATAATTGTATTTTTGTCAAAAACAATGAGTCACGATATTTTACGCCTTGTATTGCCGCATTATCGGATACCAAATAGCCGTTGCGCTTTACACATTTATATGCTTCGTTATCGAAGCGAACGCAAGCAGCATTGAGAGAACAGCAATGTAACAACAAGTGCCCTGCAATCTAGCCTGCAATGCACGTTTGCGTTCGCTTCGTTATACGTGTAAAGCGCAAAGGCTATTCAGTATCGGATAATACGACCTTATGCGATACTGAAAATATGCGTTTTGGAAACATTGGTCAAAAAGTCGAAGCAGTTCATGATGCTTTAGAAACATAT